TATATTGCAGATTAAATTATATTGAGTTGTTTATTGTCTCTAGCTTACCCTTGCATGTTTCCATGTGGTTTGGACTGCGATGATCATACGTTGTATGGGAGCAGGGCAGGGATAGACTGGAGCTAGCTGCTAGAGGCCACAGGAGGTGCCTGGAGATAGAATTTTTTTGTAGGCTACCTTATGGTAGCATATTTTGTTGTATATATTTGGTCGTCTTTGGTTACTTGATTAGCAACTTGTATTGTAAAAATATTTTATTATACTCTTTAATATAATTTAGTAGTGTGTAATGTTGTTCGTAGTGTGACGGCTATGGCGGGTTGTTACAAACTGTGGCATTAACGACAACCCATTAAGCATGAATGCATTAATACAGAGATTTAATGAAGAAGAACCAAGCAGAACAGAGATATACAATACGAACCCAACTTCAAACAAAGATTACAATCCGAAACAAGGAGACAACCAGGGGTTTTAGCCTTCCATTAATTAAAACACAAATGAAGAAACAACAAGGTAGAAGGAAAGGAAATGAATAATCTGTATTACTTCAATGTAAAAGTGTAGTTTTTGAATACAACTAGAGAAGAAACAAAAGAAAAACACAAAAGAAAGGAAGCCACATAACAGACAAAAACGTAAAGGCAGGGAAGAGCCACCAAAAATGTAAAAGAAGAAGAAGGAGAGAACTAAAAACGTGGTCACATCAAAGTGGTGGCTGCTAGGTTAGCCCTAACCTAGACTTAAGACCTAAAAACGCAAAAATGGGCCCCCCTACCGATGTGTCTGGCCCAAAATTACAAAAATAAGGTTAACAAAAATGTTGTTGCTGATGTGGCAATGTGGTGTTGACGTGGCACTTTATCTCTTGAAGTCCAAAAATAATATTCAAGCCCAAAAATGCTTCACAATTAACCTGAAAAATAATTAATAGACAAAAATTAGACCAAGTGAATTGAAATTAATTAAAATTTGAATTAATGGCCCAATGAAGCCCAAACAATGAAACTGTGCAATTAATAAGCGATTAAACCCAAATCATCAATTAAAATAAGTACAAAAAAGGTAAATAAATAAGGGAAAATAATGGCTCATCACCCCCAATCCTATGTTTGTTGTATGCTCATGTATGAGGGGTTTTTTCCAATTGTATTTGTTTCATCTCTGTTTCTTCTTGAATGTTCTAATTGATATAATTAGTATGTATGTATGAGTAGTGTTTGTGTTGGATTATAATTGCAGACTTTGGTGTTCTTATGGGAAACCCTAAGGGAATGCATTGGTGATTGTAAGAGGAGATTGTTTGAAATGGCAATTATATGAGTAAATTATATTGTTTTAAATGTTTTTTATATGAATTATAGTGCTTTGTGGGTTCTTGAGAGAACCTTTTGAGAAATAGGCAAATGAATGTTTTCTATTTTTCTTTCTTATTGTTCTATTGTGTTCCTTATTGGATGAGATGTACGAATATGTGTAAATAGACAAGTTTTTATATGAATTAAAGTGCTCTGTGAAGACTATGTGAATATGATGAGATAATGTAAAAAGTGAATATGAGACATGAGATATGAGATAATGAGACATGATAATGTTATATGATAATGAGACATGATAATATGATACGAGAATGCATAGAGTCTTGATTTACATACATCATTTGCATAAATATTTTTAAGGGTACGATATGGAATACACTGCCAAGGAAGGCCCCCTTGTGCAAAAGCTTGGGGATTAGTCCTTGGGGATAGCTCGATTTGGAAGTCCTAGTCTTGTCCATTATGTGCATAGGATGTATCTTGCGCAAGCTTAGCTATCTCGACTAGACCCTGGTAGTATGTCCTTCTAGTGAGAGTGCGCAAAGGGTGTGACCCGGCATATACTCCTAGATTACTCTCGTGTATTGCTAGCAACAATACACCATGTGATATGTGTTACTAGCGCTACATCCATGATAATTTGTAGTCCATGTCCATTACATGTGCATTTTAATGTTATATATTAAAGTGATTTTTATATCTTTGATGAGTGGAATGTGCTATTATTGTTAATCTATCTATGTTATGTAAATATACATGTCTTTTTTGTGTTTAGCTATCCGGTGTGTATTCTTACACCGTGAGCCAGAGTGAGATGTTTCTCACTCTCTTTTCTCTTGTGTTGTTTTCCTTTGATTGTTATACAGGTGATTATCAGTATGAGGCTGAGGATGTTGGTGACGAAGCTTGGGCTTCAATGTTGAGTTTTGCTCTGATAGGACATGTGACATCAGGGCATAGATAGGATTAAATTAGGATGTTATTCTATTATTTTTGAAACCTTAGCATTATATCTTTGTAATTTCCGTTGATTAAGTTATTTGTTTAAGTCATGGATGTGGTACTCTCTATCTTAACACGTTTGGTATTTTAATTATGAAAGATTATGTTATTCAAATTTTATTATTTATGTGTTATGGTATGCGGGGTAGAGGGTGTCACACTTAATACAAGGTTCTTTCTAGGTTCTAACTAGCTCAAGAACATTCCACATTTTCGCTAGGCACTCTACTTATCTTAGAGTTTTAGAATATCACTTATATACCACCTCAATACCATTCTTCTACCTTAATCCAACTCTAATCGAAGCTAACAACAAAGATTCAACCTTTTGCCTTTACTAATATCTCATTTATCAAACTTTTGGTTCTCTTCAACATATTCAACTTAGGATACTCTAAAGGTTGCTCATATGTCAACTAAGGTCTGTAAACTTGTTCTAAAGGTTCCAACTCTCTAATCATCAAGGTAGACATGTTAAGGATTTTCCTACTCAATATTTAAAATCATAACTCTTATATCAACCACAATTGTATTAAACACATACAATTATAACTTCTAAGGAGGCTTAGAGGTCGTCTCACTACACATACCCTTTATATATTCTCATAGTGAGACATTCTCCCTCCCTCTCCAACCCAAAGACTTCTCTCTAACCCACCACTTACTCTTATTTTATTTTATTTATTAAAACCATACTTTATTTGTATTATAACCTTGATTAAATTAATTAATTAAGATCATAATATAAATATCTTTTCAAAAACTTTTATTTTAATTTTGAAAATCAGGATGTTACATCTTATTATATGTTTAAGTAATATTTTTAAATTTCATTCAATAATTATTCTAGAAAAAATATTAATTACTACTTTCGTTTCTATTTATAAAACCCATTAATTCATATTGTCTCATGTATTAATTATTTTTAAACTAAAATACTTCTACTTAAAGTATGTTCACTAAACCTTAATAAATCCAATCAATTATAGTCCCTAAAGATTTCAATTGTGTAATTTCAAATCCTCTTATTAAAAGTCAAATGGTTGTTGGTGACATGATGCTAACATAGTAGCATTGTGCAATAATGTGATAGATAATGAAAACGTTAACATATTTATAATATGATATGATAATGTGATGAGTAACATAAAAAAAATAATAAAAATATCTGAAAAATAAAATTAGAATCCAAAACTCTTATCTTAAACAATAATTTTAATCATTATCAAAATATTATCTTTGAAGGTAAGAATTGTGGATTCTAATTTTATATATATATATATGTATAATTTGAATTACTTATTTAATAATTTTTTATTAAATAAGCTACATGTTCATAAATGTGAGATTTACTAATCATTAATATTTAAAAATGCTATTATTTATAAAATATTACTTAGATGTATAGACGAGTCAAATAGATTGTAAAATGAAATCAAACTTTCATGTTCAAATAAAAAAAAATGCCCGAGTTACATTGGGAAAATTAATCAAGTAAATCATAGTTTATTGCGCATATACGATTTTAAATGTCATTAGTATTTAAATACATGAAAATAGGAATATATTTTTTAATCTAGCATTTAACTCAAGAGTATCCCTCCGACTAGAAGCCTATAAGTATTTCAACTAATATAAAAGAAAAAAAAACGATTAAGTGATGATAATTCTTTACTCACAAGTGTCTATAATCTAAAATATTAGTAAAGAAAATATTATTTTTTAATGTATACATTTTTTTATACGCACTACGTATATGAACTCAACTATTCATATGTTTCTAATTGTTCACTAGTTTCTAAATAAATATAAAGACACAAAATTAAATAGACAAAGATGAATTTTCTATCATATATTAAAATTACTAACTTGTGTGTGGTGAATGATATAATAGTTGATGTTAAGACATAGAATATTTTTTTTATTTGAGTTCAAATAATTAGAGACGAAATTCCTATTATGTGAGGTGAGTGATATAATAATTCATGTTAAGGCTGCTAAATCCTTCCATTAAACATAATCCCTCTAACTTGATGTAATACTACTATTCAATTTTTTTAATTAAAAAATAAATGATATTAAAGTTCTAGGCATATTTGAAGTACTAATTTATTTTTAATTATTCAACTTTTACTCATTAAGTCCCAATTTTAATTAAGAGACCTTAAATGTAAGGGTAACAAAATGAGCCGTGATTTGCAGGTTGACCCGTGGACCTGCCAAAAATTAATAGATTGGACCCGTTATTCCAACTCGCCAATCTACCAAATTCACCCCGTCAAACCTGTCAAGATAACTTTTTTGCATTTTTTTAATGATATATAGACTGATCTACATGCCCTTCAATCGCATTTAGACGGGATAAACTAAGTGCGTGTTTGTATTGGATTCTAAACGTAAATTTTTATGTTTGAGTAAAAGTAACAAATAATAGCTTCAGTATAAAATCATTGTTAAACATGAAGAGAGGAAAAAAAATTGCTTTTCAAAATGAAATCCAAACACACGCTCGAACCCATTTTTCAACTAGGAACCAATCTAACCCAATCCATTTTTTACGGACCATTGACAGACAAGGCCAAAGTGGGCCGTAGTGAAGGGCCTTCCACCACCAAAATCTGGTAAAAAGAAAAGAAAAAAAAAAGTATATATATCCATATCAAATTGGTGTTACGTTATTCGTTGAAAGGTGGGTACCTCACACACAGAATCACAGAGAAACTGGTGGAAATAAAAACAAAATCCATCACGCACCGAAAAAAGTGTGCACTCTTCTCTTCTTCTCCTTCACTCTTCGCTAAATCGCCGCATAAACGACGCGTAACGCGGCGCCGGCTCCGTTTTCATTTTCGACCAAACGATGTCGTAACGCGGGAGGAGAACAGAGGGATTCAGAATCGGAGTAATCGCGATGGCGGCGAGAAGCGTTTCGCTGAGGCAAATCTTCGCGGAGAGGAGCAAGGAGAGGCTCCTCTCGCGGAGGGACCTGCCGGAGCTGAGGCTGAACGGCGGCGGCGGCGGTGGCGGCTGCGGCGGAGATGTTCCGCACGCGCTCTCGGATCGTGTGGCGCGGGTGTGGCGCGGCGTGGGCGAGTTCTTCGGCGAGCTTAGCGACATGGCGCGGTCGGATCCGAGGAAAGTGGTGTTCGCGGCAAAGGCGGGGCTGTCGCTGGCGCTGGTTTCGCTGTTCATTTACATAAAGGAGGAGCAGCTGAGCAAGTACTCAATCTGGGCCATTCTTACGGTCGTTGTCGTTTTCGAATTCAGCGTAGGTATTGAGAAACCACCGCATGCTTGCTTCTCCAAATTCAGCTTCCTTTTTCTTTACTTCGCTTCAATTACAAGTTTTTTTTTTTTATTTATTTTTTAATCCACGGGCTTCCGTATGCGTCACAGAAGACGAACCAATCTAACTCTATTGGGTTGGTTTGGTGAAGAAAAAATGGGTGAAAAATAGGGAGAGTGGAAATAGATTACGAAAATAAGTTGAGAGAGTTAATTAATAAGAAATAAGGAAGAAAAAATTAAAATGTGACGAATTCCTTTTTTTTTTTTTTTTTTTTTTTTCTCTTTTCTTTCTTTTATATATATATATATATATATATATATATTAGATTTAAATATATTTTTAATATCTTAAATTTATAATAAATTTATTTTTATCTTTTAAATTTAAAATTATTATTTTTAGTCTTGTAATTTCAAAAAAAAATTATATTTTAATTTTTATATTTAAATTTTGTTAAAAAATTTATCAAACATCATAAAACCTATTTATTAGTGTCCAGTAAAAAACATTATCACATTAATTTAATTGATATTGCATAATCCTCTTATTTGTCACTTTCAGATATGTTATTATTTACCTAAGAGATTAAAATAAAATTTTTAAAAATTATAAAGATTAAAAATAACAGTTTTAAATTTAAGGGAGTAAAAATAAATTTATCTTAAATTTGAGATATTAAAATCATATTTAAACCTATATTATATTATTTATTTATTTTTCTTTAATTAAATAATTAAATTTTTATCTTTTTATTTATTTATTTTTACTTACTTATTTTTTTTACACTATCTTTTACCTTTTTTTTTCTATGCATCTGAGACAAGCTAATCGTCTTGTTCATTATGAAGACTCAACAACAATTGAAGTTAAAACTTTGGTTAAAACTACAAGGACAAAGTTCACTGTTATTATTATTAGAAAGTATTTGATACATTATTATTATAAAAATAAATAAATTATAACGTCATAAAAAATAAAAATTTATAACGTCACAAACTACTAAATTTTCATCCAGTTTTTTTATCCATTAACAAACTACTAATTGATTATTTGTAGAAAAATTATTGAATTTTATAATAATAAATAAATAAAAATTAATATTAATAATGATATCTAATTGATTAAAAATGTAAAATTATTTTATGTTGTGATTAAACTCTTTTATTATTATTCATGTAAAAAAAACATTATTATTATTATTATTATTATTATTATAATTTAGATCGTTAATTAGTAAAAAAAAATGTTCAATAAAAAATAAATATAAAAAATAACGATATTTCTGATTGGTTGTGGTAAAAAAAACACTAATGAATTACTCTATTATTAATACTAGTAGTAACGAATTTTCATTTTTTAATTTAATTCAAATTTACTACATAGCTGATTCTTTTAATATTAATTATTTTCAAAGTTGATGGTGTTTTATAATGTTTTATACTGTGGGTATATAATTTTTTTTTCTTGAGATTGATAGCATAAATATTTTTATATTATGTTAAATTCCCTTTTCTCCTTAATACACTAATCTCATTTTCATGTATTAAGAATCTATTAAATGCGATAACATTGGTTGTAATGGAATGATAGTATAAAAATAATAGAAAAATGATATAATCTCCGAAAATTCATTCCGAATCATCTTCCGACAGGTTAAAAAGCTTTCTCTTTTTAATTAAAAAAAATTATAAATGTGAATCATAATTAATTCAGAATAAAATTCGGTCAACATTTTGCTGTAGCATTTCTGAAAATAATATATTTTGATGATTTTTATTTTTATTTTTTATTTGCAATTTTTGGTGCAGGGGCGACATTGAACAAAGGGTTCAATCGTTCATTGGGAACGATTTCTGCTGGGGGGCTTGCGCTGGGTATTGCTGAGTTGGCCGTCCTATCCGGGAAGTTCGAGGAACTCATTATCGTACTTTGTATATTTATTGCAGGTGGAATATTTTATTTTATTTTACTTTTCAGTTGAAGAATGTTCAGATGTTCTTTCCAGTAAATAAATTCACTATTTTTTGGCACTCAAACGCTGTCACATTATTGTTTTTCAACACATTGGTTGGTGGGTCCTAGAAATAATATGGGTCGTACTCATATAGAATCAGGGTCCTTTGATATTTAATGCAACTCACTTGAATTTCTTCTGATTGTAAGAAGTGATTTGGAAAGAGTATATTTAAGAGTGTGATGTGGCATTTCTCTTCGTAGATAACAAGTTTAGGCTGTTGCGGTCTTTAACTTGCTATAAAATGTATATCCCTGACCACCAAAACACCGTAAATAACATCTATTGCTGTTTGTTTTGATTTATTCCTCACTTTAGAAAATTAAGGAAACATTAATTACTTCCCCGGCCTACACACACCAAACTTTATATTTGTTTTTTGGTATCATCAGTAACTGAACTAATATTTTCTTTGAAACTGATACTATTTATTGACTTTTCTTAATCCTTTTGGTACCTTAAAAGATAAATATTATAACAAATGTTCACAATACATTCTTTCATGCACTCTTTTTATGATGCTCTTTGTTAATGGGTGAATTTCATGAGTTCCACTAAAAATATTTGGGCCAACTCTTTTCTTCGATTTTTTAAGTAATTGTATAGCATTTCTCTATAATTATTTTTAAATGGAGAAAATATCCTTTTTTTTTTTAATCCATATTTATGGTACCATTTTTTTAATTTGAAAATATTTATAACTTCTAGGAAACTGATTCTTTCAGAACTATTTTTACACTGTTTAGTGATGGTTTAATTCCTAGTTAGCAAAGGTGCATAGATTGGTTAACCAATAGTAGTGTAATTGATTAACTAGGAAATCTTACTAAGCTTGACTGCAGAATAAGCTAAAAAGAGTTTATTTTTTCGAGCTTATCTGTGGAACTTTTCTAGGTCTTAAGCCACTTTCATGAGCTCAAGAAAAGCTCCGTAAAAAACTTCCAAATGCTTCATCAACAAATCTGTGTGAATTATTAACTAATAACTAAGTCATAATTAGTTGGTACAAAAAATAATGTAAATTTTTTTATGGCAAGAATTTATTAACTGTTGTGCTGATTACAATATTTGTTCATAAAGGAAAAAAATCAGGATTGTTGATTCTGCTTTTGTGGTGTGCAGGATTTTGTGCAAGCTATGTAAAGCTACTGCCTGCAATGAAGACATATGAATATGGCTTTCGGGTGTTTTTGTTGACATTTTGTATTGTATTGGTATCTGGGAGAACTAGCAGAGAATTTTTCTCCACAGCCTTTTACAGATTAATTCTGATTGCAGTTGGTGCTGGCATATGTTTGTTTGTAAATATTTTCATATACCCCATCTGGTCTGGGGAGGATCTGCATAAATTGGTGGTGAAAAATTTCAATGGAGTTGCTGCATCTTTAGAAGGTATGCTTGAATTTCCTCATGTTCCGAATCCTTGCTAAGATTTGCAATTGTTGTCTATGGCTAGTTTCTATATTTAATTTTGTCCTGTTGTCGCTCTGAGTTTTTTTCTTTGTAACTTTGTTTAGGCTGTGTTAATGGGTACCTGCAATGTGTTGCATATGAGAGGGTCCCTTCAAAAATTCTTGTTTATCAGGCGTCGGATGATCCACTTTACCGTGGTTATAGAGCAGCAGTTCAATCGTCTAGTCAAGAGGATGCTTTGGTACTCATATTTTGTAGTTGTCATCTTTCTTCAATAACCTAAATGCTAAAAGTAGTGCCTACATTTTATGATTTTGTCTTACTGTCGCAGGTAGATTTTGCATTATGGGAGCCACCTCATGGTCCATACAAGACATTCAATTATCCTTGGAGAAACTATGTTAAAGTCAGTGGAGCTTTGAGGCATTGTGCTTTCATGGTCATGGCAATGCATGGATGCATACTTTCAGAAATACAGGTAAAAAACAAACCTTTCCTTCTGTGATCTGTGCTAGATGTTAGCTGTGTTATATTTTTGTTAGTGTTGTTTGTTACCCTTTCTTTCTGTTAAAATGATCCAGCGTCATCTACCTGATTTGCATTTTTTTTCACCGTTCTTTCATAAAGTCTAATTTATGTCTTCTTTCAATCTCTTGCAAGCTTTCAGAACACTTGGCAATATATAAGAATATATCTTCATACCTTCTATGAACTCACAATTTGGTTAGCATGTGTGTACCTTATGAATGATCTGGCTGAAAATTAGTCTAACACAATGTCTGCAGTGAAAGGAAGACGTTGACTTGTGTGATGATCAATTGCTTATATTTTGAAGGTCTATGTCATATATATTTTTCTACATATTTAAAGAATGGGAACATGTTCTATTATTCATTAATACAAATGAACCAATTCATCAACAATAGGGCAATGAAACGTCCATAATTGTATTAGGAGGAAGATGTTGATATTTTTTAATTAGGCAGATTGTTTTATTCCAAAATGTCTGAGGTAGAGTTTAGCTGAGCAGTTGAATTTCAGAAGATACTTGAGCAATGGCTAACTTACATGATTGGCATTAGAATTCTATTTTCTGGTTGATGGCTTGAGTGCCATTCTCTAAAAACATCTTCCCAAATGCTAGATTTTTAGTACTGTATAATTTTTCTCAAGACTCCTTTTAAAGTCCATAGATAGCATTAGTTACCAGTCTATGCTACTACTAAGATCTAATTATTCAGTTATTCTTCTTCCTTTTCCCCCACATTTAAGATAAGATAAATGAACTTTTTATAATTTGTTCTGTTTGGTCTAAATCACTTGAGCAGTGCAGTTAAATTAAAGCACGCTGATTGAATATAGTTAAGTTCTAAATTCAAATTATTGTAGATGATGTCATTTATCAATGGGTTTGAGAAGCAGGAATTTTTTGCTACTTTAAACACAATCCATAGAAATAAAGTTGTGGTTGTACTGTCTGCATAAAGGAAAACATGTCATTTTAGTCCATGTTGAGGCCTTCGTTTTATTTAGTCTTTGACACGTATCTTGGTGTTACTATACATTGTTGGTATTCAAATTTCATATATACAGGCACCCCCAGAAAAGAGGCTGGTTTTCAGTAATGAACTTCAGAAAGTTGGAACTGAAGGAGCTAAAGTATTGCGTCAACTTGGAAGCAAAGTGGAAAGGATGGAAAAGCTAAGCAATATAGACATTCTCTTGAACGTACATGATGCAGCTGAGCAATTGCAGATGAAGATTGATCAACAGTCATTTCTTTTGGTCAATTCAGAGAGCTGGCAGGTTGCAAAAAAGCCTAAAGAAATCGAAAACCATGACAATTTGATTGATGTCAAAGACCATGAAAACAAACACTCGCTGATCTCTTCCCTCAGTGAAACAGGGGTTGATTCAAGACTCAACATAAACATAGAGCATTCAATTCCCGAATTGCACATTTCACAAAGCATGATGTGCAAGAAAATATCATGGCCACGTCTCTCATTTTTAGGAGATAACCTGTTACTTGAGCAAGATTCCAAAGTATATGAAAGTGCCAGTTCTCTCTCTTTGGCAACATTTGCTTCACTTTTAATAGAGTTTGTTGCAAGGCTTCAAAATCTTGTGGATGAATTCCAAGATCTTAGTGAGAAGGCCAATTTCAAAGACCCGTTTGACCAACCGGTGTTGAAGTAGCTACCAGTGACACTTTGGACCAGACTTCACAGGCGACTTTATTTCAAAATTGGAGGTATCTATAGTCTGTCTGACTATAATGTATAATTATATAGTTCATCTATGATATATAATATATTCGAGTATGGAGATACGAATGGAAATATCATTTTTAGTTCTATAAAAATCAATTTGGTGGGGAGAAATTATACTTCCTTATAAAAAAAAAAACAAATATATATATATATATATAAGGCATTATAAAAGTTATTCCGCATTTTTCTTAAATTTACATTTTACATTTCTTGTAAATTATAGATGTTATTTATTTTGTTTTTCTACTTTCTATTCTTCTACTTCATATTTTCCTGATTTTCTTTTTCAAGTTATTAAACCATTAATTATATATATATATATATATATATATATAT